AAAAAAAAAAAAAAATATATATATATATATTCAAAAATGTCAGTGTGATACAACTGTCTTGATAACATAATTAAAAAAAGGATCATTAAATTCATGAAATTATTCATAATAAAACCTTAAGTAGTTTGTATCATTTATTATTATTTATCATTAAAAAATAAAAAAAAAACATTAAAAACTTTACTGCTTATTAATGTCTGAAAAACTTTTGGCGGCCAAATCAATTAAGTGGTATAACCAACATGCAGAAACAGAAAAAAACAAAAAACAGATCCTAATGATGACTATTTGACATGATAATTTTATTGACAGTTCAGATTGTAAAAGTGATGGGAATTCCAGCTCTTTTTAGGGATCCGGATCATTTGGCTCAGCTCAGCAAAAAGAACTGGCTCTTTCGGCTCCCAAATGGCTCTTTATTTAGTACCCGCTCTGGCTTTTATAATTCAGTCAAATTTCTCAATGTTTTGACCTATGTCTGGTATGTGTGCACAAATATAATTAAACTATTCAATGTAATTAAACTAAACTATTAAAAAAAATACAAATTTAAAACAATAAAATGCCACATAATATTCAATTTTGTTAATTCACACTATAATTCAGATTTTCACGATTCAAATTCAAATTGTTTTGTCATATTTCTGGTTCCATAAACCTTTCCAAAATACCATAATTTTACATTATTTTTTGGCATAAAAACCAAAAACGTAATTTATGTAAGAACATAAAACTGAGCGCTTGATCTGGGAAACATCTGTAGAAACATCTGATAAATGTCTTAGAAAAAGCAGATTTACATACATTCTAAATCATAAACATCTTCAAACATCTATTTAACATCTGATAGGAAACGTCTTAGAGACATATTGCAGATGAGCTAAAAAATACAAATCTAAAAAATCTAAAAAATACATCTTGCAGATGTAAATGCAGACATTAAAGGGGTCATATGACGTTGCTAAAAAGAACATTATTTTGTGTATTTGGTGTAATGAAATGTGTTTATGCGGTTTAAGGTTTAAAAAAACACATTATTTTCCACATACTGTACATTATTGTTTCTCCTCTATGCCCCGCCTTTCTGAAACGCCTTTCGATTTTTACAAAGCTCATCGGTCTGAAAAAGCGAGGTGTGCTCTGATTGGCCAGCTATCCAATGCGTTGTGATTGGCCGAATACCTCAAGCGTGAGACGGAAATGTTACGCCCCTCACATACCGTGTCCGGCCGGAGCGACGAGACATAAGGATACCTCAAGCGTGTGACGGAAATATTACAAAGCAAAGGTTCTACAAAGCATGTGCAAACTTGTGATCGCAACTGTATAATATATATATATATATATATATATATATATATATCAAGGTAAAATAAATATTTCTATATTTCAAGGTTTAAATTATATTTCTAATTAAATAAAAAACTAATAACTATGTAATTAAATTTAAAAAAATGTTTTTATTAAAATTAAACTGTAATTTAAAAGCTTAAAGCTTTTATTTAAAAGGGTATAAAAAAATTTCATAACCATACGAAACCTACATGAATACAAAGAGTACATATTTGTACAAAATTAATCCATTAAATTGATAGTCCTAGTAGAATCACTATGGACTTTCGGCACAGATCTGCGACTCCTCACCTGAGAGAAGTTTCTGGCCCTCATCTTCACCTCCTTCTCTATCAGCTGCTGTCTATGTATCGTCTCCTCCTGCAGTCTCTTCTCCGCCTCCTCTCTTCTTCTTCTCTCCTCCTCTAGCATGAGTTTACGGGTCTGAGTCTCTCGTTCCTGCAGCCAAAAGAGGGCAGATGTTATTAGACAACGCTGGGAGGCAAAAAAGCTGAATATGGTTACTGTATTGATTGTATACTGATATTATGACTTACTCTGGACTCTATGAGTCGAGCTTTCTCCAGTTGTGCCTCTTTCAACATCTTCTCCATCTCCTCAATCTTCAACGCATCCATACCACTGGCACTGTGAAACACATAAAACTTCAGTCAAAGTCATTTACTATATGTTTTTGAACCAAGACAGACAGCAAACATTTAAATACTCAATCGAAAGTTGCGCAACCGTTCAGTGATTTTACCCCTCGGTGATCTATTTGGTGAATGATGGAATGGAGACCAGTAGCGGTGAGACCGGTGGATTACGAAACATTTCGTCATATATGAAAATAAAACTGGATTGCACATACAGTACAAGCATGAAAATCTGCCGTGAAACATGAAATGAAGCACATGTGGACTATAAACATAGAAAAAGTAAATGAGTAATGGATTCCTCTAGAGAAGAGTCCCAGACTAGCTTGAAGCTTTATAAAGACAAGAGTAAACAAACTGTATGAGAACATTTCAAGTAAATAAATTCTCTCCTGAGAGAGAAACAGCTGAAGGCCATCTGTTTACAAAGCTGTCATGCTCCAGTCCAGCTCCACTGCTCCACCGCTTCACTGTACTTTACAGGCTTTTGTTTACAACATCTTCACACATTCCCCATGATTACGCTTGTAACTGAAGACAACATGTCAGTGTCAACTAGGTTGTGTGTCCCATTCAGAACTGAAATGAGAATGTCTTTGAAATTCAATTCCTGAATCCAGATTTGAATTTAAGAATATTTGAATCTAAAGTGAAATGGAATGACATTCAAATAAATTCATATTATGGCTGTGAGTGTAGTTTTTAATAATACACTTCTGTTCAAATGTTTGGGGTTAGTGATATATTTTTACTTTTTAAGAAATTAATACTTTTATTTAGCAAGGATGCATTAAATTCATTAAAAGTGACATTTATACTTATTTAGACATTTATAATGTTACAAAATATTTCTTTTTCAAATAAACACTGTTTATTTGACTTTCTATTTATCAAAGAATCCTTAAAAAAATCTATCATGGTTTCCACAACTGTTTTTAATATTGATAATAAAAATGTTTCTTGAGCAGCAAATCAGCATATTAGAATGATTTCTGAAGGATCATGTGACACTGAAGACTGGAGTAACGGCTGCTGAAAATTCAGCTTTGCATCACAGGAATAAAATATATTAAAATAGAAAACACTTATTTTAAATTGTAATAATATTTCACATTATTACTGTTTTTACTGTGCATTTGAACACATGAATGCAGCCTTTATGAGCATAACTGTATTTTTCATTAAAACAAAATCTGACCATCATGAGCATAAGAAACTTCTTTCAAAAACATTTTTAAATCTCTTAAACGCAAACTTTTGAACTGCAGAGTACACTTCATTTTTCAGTATGACTATGAGTTATTAAACATACGTATATTACATTAAGCAATTCCAGAAAATTACGTCAATAATTAATATTAATTTTAATAATCAATAAATGAAAATGTAGATAAATTTTCTATATATGCATATACATACTATTTCATTATGTTTAGTAACTGAACTTTCATTTTGTGAACTCTGATGCACTTTATCCCCAACATTTCCCAGAATGCTCTAATTTACCCCAAAGTCTTTAAAATGGAGACAAACAATACAAAGCAGGCTTACCGTATATATAAATTATTAATTTTTTTGTGTGTAGAAGAAAATCTGTTATGTGACTGTACTGACATTCTTTGAATTACAATTAAGTGCATTTCTCTTCCTGTCATTCCAAATCAAATTCCACTCCAACATGCTCTGCAGCGTGACCAATTCAATTCAAATCTACACTCATGAACTGAATTCTGAATTTCACTCAGCCCTGGTGTCACGTGCTGGTATTTGCACCTCATTAATTTCCACAACCTATAATTCCTTTCTCCTTTCTCCTCCTCATCTGTTATTCATAAATGTCAAATTCTGATGAAAGTATAACAGGACACTTAACTGCCATATGTACGTATAGTTTACACAAGTACAATGGATTATTCGTATATGCAGAGAGAGGGATGGTGAAAAGCAGAGACAAAAAAAGTGGGCGCTCATTTATGACAGGAAGGGTGGATAAGCAAACAATAAAACTTCAGGCATGTGTTTATGGAAGACGCCTTTTCGACTGTTGACATTTTTGCAAGCCCAATTAGTCCTATGTGTGCTCTGACTGTCCCTGTTAAGTGGAAACTGAACAGACGACCATTTCAAGAGCCTGTTTTACCCAGCAACAACCTACAAGCTTAAAGACGTGACTTCACGCAGTCCGTTTAACCCAGAAACAACCTAATCTGTAGCCTCAAGCATCAAAGCCGTTCATTTGTTCTTTCCTTTTGTCAGGAAAGGGGGCGGGATGAAGCACGGCTGCTGCATTCTGATTCACAGAGTTACTACATGCATGTGAATTTATCTAAAATATACATTATTTTACACATTTTCACATGGACATGATATAATATAAATGTATAATAACAGACAGTATAACACATTATATTAATTTAAATATAAATTTTTTTATATAAATATGATTTCTTATATAAAATGACAATATATATTACAGATTTTTTTCAATGTTTTTGAAAGAAGTAGCACTATTATGAATTACCTTAGAATAAAAAAATAATAATAATTATAATATTTAACCAGACAATACATATAGTGTTACATTAAAATACAATTACAAATATTTTATATTTTACAGAACATCTGTCAGGGTCTGGCGTCTGGTGTTCTCCCTCTCACCACCAGAGGTCGCCATTTCCCATCCTCCCGGACTCCTTTTCCGTTACCTTGACTCCACACACCTGTGCACACACTCACAAGAGTGGTGCACGACTGGCCCCGAGGTTGAAGAAAAGGGACTGTTGATCTGCGTTTGAGAGCCATGTAGCGCCTCCCACTGGCACTGAGCCTCTACTGCAGCTTTCTGCTTCAGCTCGGCCAAACGCCTCCGCTGCTCCTCAATCACTTGCTGGCCTGATGTAGATAAAAAGCATATATGAAAGTCAAATCCACAAATAGGATATGCAGTGAACTAAATGTGTTTCAAAACTGAACAAGCTAAGCATTTTATAGGTCAAATATAGCTGCCAAACCCTCTTTTAGACTACAAAGTGCTTTGAAACCCAAGTGGCTGCACATCCATTTAGGATGGCATAGTTTGGCCATAATTTGCTCCATCATGCTTCACACATACACATATAAATATGCAACGTATGTGCGCTGAATAAACAGCCCAAGCAATACCTCTAAATCAAGATTCCTTTGTACGCTACCAGTCAAAACTCCACTACTCATTCTTTATTATATTTTTGAAAAGTATTGGAATTATGTTAACGTTAATAAAATTAAAAATTAAAATTAATTAAAAAACTAATGAAACTGATTAAACTAATTAAATATTTATGCTCTCTGCGATTTTAGATAACCACAATAAAATTTAAAATAAAATAAAATAAAATATTCCCAGTGATTTGGGAATTATGTAGAAGTCATAAAAAGTTTACATATTAAAAATGAAAATTAAATATAAAAAAACGAATTAAACTGATCTTATATTAGAGATAAAATAAAATATTCCCCATGATTTGGGAATTATGTAGAAGTCACAAAACGTTTACATATTAAAAATGAAAATTAAATATAAGTTAGGTACAATTAGGTATGATTTATATTTGCATAGAAAGTCATTTCAAAATATAATTCAAAAAATAATAATAAAATGCTCCCTGTGATTTGGGAATTTTATAGTAACCACAAAAATGTTAACAAATTAAAAATTAAAATCAAATGATTTAAAACTACAAGGTACAATTTATATTTGCATAAAAAGTCATTTCAAGCCTTTAAGTAATAAGCCTTCATAAGGTCATAAGGTTTTGAGATCGCCACAAACAAATTCAGGTATGTATAGCTTTTGACTGGTAGTGCAGCTAAAGTGCTTTAAATATTTGAAACTACAAGATTATCACTGATATCATGATTCAATTCATGCACAGCTATGCCATCAGTGGAAAAAAACTGGGTAAAAGAACATTTGGACACAGGCAAGACCGTTCCAATGGGGGTGGATGTGCACAAAATGTTGAGTTAGAATTAATGAGGATGCTGATTACGATGAAGGGCAGTCCAATGCTACTTAGAGCTCGCTCTACCTGTGGGACTGTCCATACTGGAGGATGACTCAAACATGGAGGTCAAGAATTCTGTTTGAGGGCAAGGGACAACAAAAGATGATTGATGATCAAAAGTTAAAAGACAACTAAGGAAGACGCCCAAAGAAGAAACTGGCATCCCATGGTCACTATGAATATGGAAAATAAAACTGATGTGGAAATTTAAAAAAAAAAGTAAAAGAGTAAATAATTACATTTTTGGTTGAGCAACTCCTTGAAGTTTGATGGTCATAAATGGCTGATGAGCCATCAAACATTAGTTTAAAAAATGTTGATCTTACAACCAGCTCTGAAATGTCAGCTGTCAAGCTGCTGTGTTTCTCATTACCTTTCTGCTGAAGAGCCAGCTGTCTTTTGGTCTCAATGTCCTGCAGGGTGGCTGCCAGGTTGCGTGGGAGACTCCCGGTGCTGTTGGCTACCATCAGAGGACTCTGGGTAAATAAAACAAACTATTATTTCCACCAGCATATTTAACAATAAAGGAGGGAGATAAATTACTACATTAAATGATGCAGGAGATTCTGATAACTGCACTATTTACACTGGCAGGGCTGTAAAAGAGAGAATTTACCCTGGCACGATGCTAACATAGTCTCAATGCAGTATTTACCCTGGCAGGAGTGTTGCGTCCCAGTGTAGCCGTAGTGTATGTGGGGGACAGACCAGCGCTGATTTTAGGTCTCAGTGATGATTGGCTTGCATCACTGTCCAGTCGAGAGCGGTACACCTGCAGGTCAGAATTGATTCATTGTGAGTCGAAGTATTGCTTTTCATTTTACTACTGTAAAACGGAGTTATAAACATAGTAACTCTAAGATTTAAAGTTGTAGTTCAACACAAAATTCAGTTCCCCTTCAGGAAATCACGCTCTGTCTGGACGCTTAGGGAACGCCTCTGCGTGACCACGTTCTGAAGCATGTGTGGAATCAGTCAAATGGAATGGCGAGACGTCATAGGCTGGATGACGTAGCGACCATGAAGCTTAAAAGCATGTGCGGTGGAAACAGTGTCAGCTTCTGTTTCTTCAGTAAGCACTCTGTGTGCACAACTTGTGTTGTGCCAGTGGGCTGACTGTCCGCTTTGTGAGCGGCTATCGTTACATACGTTCCGCTCCGCTCCCGCCGGGTGCTCTTCGAGGAGGGCACTTTGGTGAAAGTTCCTCGTGGCTTGGGTCCCCTTCTGCCAACTCAGAGCGGCGGCTGCGGTCATGGGGATCGCAAATGGATCTGGTGGAGGGGTTGGAGATGGGCTTGTCCCTTTCTTTACCCTCACCCACCAGATCTAGTGCTCTTTCTCAGGGATCGGAAGCACGCTCAGCAGTTTCTTCCCCCCGGGGAGAGAGCTCGATGCTCCACCTGTCTTCCTGAAGAGGTTGATGTGGTGGGCGTCGACAAGGATGAGACTGCAGACTCGCCACCCCAGTCCATCCAGTACGAGGAGCTGCTGGATGTAAGGATTTGGGCGGTGGCCAAGCTTAACATCAATTGGCCCGCCAAGAAAAAGGATGAGCATCCTAAGAGCAAGTTGGACAAATGCTGGGGCCTTCGGTTTTTCCCTGATCTTCACACCGAGGTTTCTAGATCGTGGGGTAAACCTTTTTCAGCCTGCATCTTCAGCCATGCAGTGATAAATTATTCTAAAATCGTGGGGCAGAGGGAGCACGGCTATGGGGTGATGTCTCGAGTAGAGCAGACACTTGCGAGCTATCTGTCTATCTGTCTTAGGACATCTTTGGCTTTGGTGGGTAAAGCGTATATGGCGGCAGGTCAGGCTTGGGCTTGTCTGCACACCATGGCAGTGTTGCAGGCTTGCCAAGCCGTCCTGCTCAAGTACCTTTGATGAGGGTGAGGAGGTGAAGGTCGATGGCATTAAAGAACTGCGTCGGGCCGCAGACTTGTCTCTCCAGGCTACCAAAGAGACAGCTACACCCATTGGTCGGTCTATGGCAGCCTTGGTGGCTATGGAGAGGCATCTGTGGCTGAACCTGTCCGAGATTAAGGACAAGGACAGGTTCTTCCTGCTGGATGCCCCACTTCCACCTACTGCCCTGTTCGGCGGCGCAGATAATTCTGCCGTCAACAGGTTTCAGGAGGCCAAGAAGCAGGCGGTTCCTTTCCAGCGGTTCCTTCTTCGCCGCTCTCATGTCCTTGGGGCTGCTGGGTGGGAGCAGCCTGCACACCTGGTCATTTGCTTCAGGGCACCGAGTTGACTGTTTAAAGTACACCAGAGGTCTCGAGAGACTGATTCCCTTAGTAGACCATTTGGCAGCATGGAAACTTGCCAAACATGTCTCAATGGGTCCTGCTGACTGTAGAAAGAAGCTACAGAATCCAATTTGGTTCTCATTCGCTTCAGTTCAATAGGGCCATTCCCACTCTGGAGATGTTGGCCATGTTTCATGCACTGAAACACTTTTTCCCAGACCTAAGAGGCCATCATGTGCTTGTTCGCACAGACAACGCATCGGTGGTCTCTTACATCAACTACCAGGGAGGTCTGCGTTCGTGTCCCCTATAGAGGCTGGTGCGTCAGATCCTTTTGTGGGCCAAGGGAAAACTCCTCTACTTGAGAGCAGGTTACATCCCTGGGCACCTCAATCAGGGAGCAGACATCCTGTCGAGGCAGGGGCCGAGGCCTGGGGAATGAATTCTGCACCCCGAGGTGGTGAAGCAGATATGGAGGGTGTTCGTACAGGCCCAAGTGTACTTGTTTGCATCTCAAGAGACACTGTCCTCTCCGGTTCTACCTCACACATCCAGCTTCTCTGGGACTGGATGATATGGTACAAACGTGGCCGAGGCCGCAACTGTATGCTTTCCCCCCGATTGCTCTGTCTGGTCCTGGGAGTTCTGGAGAGAGTGCGCCGGGATGGGGTTCGTCTGCTATTAGTAGCCCCATTCTGGCCGGGCCGAGCATGGTTCTCGGACCTGGTGCCCCTTCTCGACGGCTCTCCTTGGGAGATTCCCATCAAGAGGGACCTCCTCTCTCAGGCAGGGGGGCTCCATCCTTCGCCCCTGCCCAGAGTTATGGAAACTGTGAGTGTGGCCCCTGAGGGGGCACAGCTCATAGCTTCCAGTCTATCAACTGAGGTTGTTGAGACCATATTCCAGTCCAGAGCTCCCTCCACGAGGACACTGAACTCCTTGAAGTGGAACCTTTTTACTTCTTGGTGCGGCAACCGTCAGCTGGACCCAGTCAACTGCACGGTTGGTTCAGTGCTGGAGTTCCTGCAGGAACGGTTTACCGCAGGGTTAGCCCCCTCCACCCTCAAGGTGTATGTGGCAGCCATAGCTGCTTACCACACCCTATGGGTGGTAAGTCATTGGGGAGAAACACGCTGGTCCATCCTTAAGTTTGTCAGGTTTTACAACCTCAACATTGGAGCCACTCCTGGCTCCTCTGTTCTCTCGTCCTAGCTGTGTAGTGTTCCACACTAGGCAGGGATTTGTCAGCATGGCGGAGTGGGTATTCTCTATCCCAAAGCATCCAGACGCAGCGTGAGTTCCTGAAGGGGAACATTTCTAGGTTACGTATGTAACCATGGTTCCCCAAGGGAATGAGATGCTGCATCTCATTGCCATATTTCCTGCATCTCTGCAAACACTTCCTTCACTAATCAGAAGCTGACCCTGTTTCCACCGCACGTGCCTTTAAGCTTCCTGGTCACTGCGTCATCCTGCCTATGACATCTTGCCATTCCACTGGACTGATTTCACACGTGCTTCAGAGCGTGGTCACACAGAGGCATGCCCGAAGCGTCCAGACACAGCATCTTGTTCCCTCGGGGGAATGATGGTTACATACGTAACCTAGAGACGTTTTCATTTACTCAATGAAAATCTGAAGGTGAGCATGAGCAAATATGATTTGAAAGCTACAGTGGACGGGAATATGTTCAGTGAGGAAAGCCATCAAATGGTTTAGGTATGACTTATAGCACACAGTTTCGAATAAATTAAGTGAACTTTAGTGAACTGCATCTTTAAAATTTGTTTTTAATTATATCAACATTGTTAAAATGTTAAACAGGACACACTGCTTTATACTTAGAGATTAATGTCCCATACATTTTTGTAATTGTGATAATAATCAGGGATTAAAGCAAAAAAAAAAAATCCTGAGCCTGAACTTTTTTCCGGGGGCGGGGGCAGCACATGCAAAGCATGCAATTACTGTGGCAACTTTAACATTTGAAAGGATACTATGGCAAAGTTATCGCTTTCTTTATTCAAACTGATTTTCTTTTTCAAAAACAGATGTTTTTAGCAGGTACGAGCTGTAATGGCGCAGCTCTATTCTGGAAAAGGGGGCGGGGAGCAGCAGCTCATTTGCATTTAAAGAGACAGGCCCGAAAAACAGCATGTTTTTGCTTCCATTCAAAATAGGCATTTTCAAAATGATATAATAAATGATCTGTGGAGTATTTTGAGCTGAAACTTCACAGACACATTCTGGGGACACCAGAGACTTATATTACATATTGTAAAAAGGGGCATACTATGTCTCCTTTAACAATTCTTTTGATTTATTACAAATTTTTTATTATTTTAAAAAGCAGCCTGCTTATATAATTTAACAAAAATGCATAAAATAAATTTGATATAAAATTTATATGAAAATGTAGCCATGTGCAGCAATATTGAAAATTGAGGATGCAACGCATTGTGATATTGAATTGAATCGAATCATTGACATGATAATCATAATTGAATCGAATCGTGAAACCAGTGAAGATTCACACCCCTATCATATATTAAATAATGTAAGACAATTTTTATGTATTTTCACATTTTTAAAGCTTGATAGCCTCTGGTCCCCTCCCACTCTCGTTTTAACGGAAAACAGCGGCTTGGACATTCTGCTCAACTTCTCCTTTTGTGTCCCATTTAAGAAACAAAGTCATTCCGCTTTGGAACAAAATGAGGATTAGTAATAGAGTAAACACTAACAGAATTTGTATTTTTTGGTGCACTATTCCTTTAACAAAAGGAATTTGCTATAGATGGTTCTCCACACAACAGTACAACAACAGAAGATTGAAACCTTGAGACCTTGAGCAAGAGTCAAGAGCCAAAAAAATAAAATATATATATATATATATATATATACTGTATATATATATATACGCAAAACACCCACAAAAACAAACTTACTTAGACACGTCAATATAAAAGAGTCCTATGAAGATGAAGTATGAAAATGTGGAAGAGCAGAATAGGGTAAAAGAGAGCTGAGCTTCTGGCTGTTACCTGCGCAGGCTTGCGTGATGAGAAAGCTTTAGCCGGGAGGGGAGGAGGAGGGCAGAGATGGTTTGCATCTCCAGCTGCCATTACCTCCTGGTACCAGCACTCTAAATCTAGAGCGGGCATCTGAAGCCTGCCCCAGTCCGACTGACACTTAACACACACAGCACATCCATAAGCACAGACAGCATGAGTGGGAGAGAGAGAGGTGGAACGGTGGAATGCCAGAGAGAGAAAGAGAAGAGTGTTAATGAGCAACTGAATGATTTGTTCAATGACTGAATGATACAGGTCGTTGATGATTCCCAGCCCTAACCAGGAATAAAACGAGAGAGAACACAGAGGAGGAGAGACACACCTCGAAGGAGAGAGAGAGGAAAGAGCCGTGAGGGGAAGGGAGGTAGGAGAAGGCGGAGTCTGCGAGAGAAGACTGAAGTAATTGGATGGGTGAGGTAGGGGAAGACTCCACCTTCGGCATCCCATAGATCTGGTTTAATTGGCCGACGGTCACATACTCCTGACATCCAGGAGTGACACGCGGACACAGGCAGAAGGGAAAAACAGGAAGTAGCAGTGCAGGAAAAAGAAGTTATAAAGTTAGCAACTAGAGCACATAATTAAGTAAAACAAAGCTATTCAGTTCCATCTATGCATAAACATCAGCCTTTATACTGTGTCCTAACTAGATGCAATGCGACAAGTTTCCAGCAGCAGGTTCTGTAATTTATCCGTCTACAGTTAAAGCGAAAACAGCCAATCAGAACATATTTGATGTTTAATATACAGTTATGTGGAGTAAGATTGTGACCCAATGAGACTTCTCGATAGGGAGGGCTATCTGCAACCAAATTAATAAAAAAATGCAGCTGGTTAGGACAAAAAAAAATTACATGTAAGATACTGCTTTATTGCATCAAGCTTAGAGTTTGATCAGGTACTGGGTCATTCTATAAAACAGGTGCCATTTGTGTTTATTTATGTATTAATTAATTAATTCATTCATTCATTCATTCATTCATTCATTCATCCATCTATTCATTCAATTTATTTATGCCGTTTTTATCTTTCCTACCTCTGTTTCCAACTCCTTAATGTATTATCAAATATACACATTTGATTGAAAACAAAATATATGAAAAGAAAAGCTACCTTTATTATTTACATGCATCTATCTACCTTGTAGTTTCATGACCTTCATGGCTGCCAAATTAAACTGTAAAACTGTCAACTGTTACCATAAACCTTTATTGTTTTAGAAAGCATAATTATATCCAAACAACGGTTTATTTCAGCATTATCTATATAGTATTATTTTTTTTAATTAATGTTTTAAATTAGCTTTTATTTTTATATGTTCAGTTTGAATTTTTAGTTCATTTTTAGTAATAGCTTTTTTTTAACGCTTTGGTCATTTTCATTACTTTTTAAAAATAAAAATAGAATTTCATTTTATTTCAGTTTTAGTTTTTATTTATTTCCAGTTAGTAATTCAGTGCTTTACCTTAAACTTATTTCAGTTAAGTTATCAAGGCAACATTTCTCATTTTCATTAATTTGTTTTTCGTCAAATATTTTGTAACAACGTTCGTAAATCGGGAAGGAGGCGGGAACCGGCGAACATTTAAACATAAAACTTTAATAAACAAATGAACGAACACAAAACGAAAGTAAAAGTGGCAACCCCTCACGAACGACTGCCGCATAAAACATAATAAAACAACAACATAAATAGTCCAGGCCTGGTCCTCTCTCATCCTTCCTCCGTGGGACTCGAGAGCGGTGAGTGGCGCAGGTGTCGCTCATTATCATTTACTCCACCGGCCTCTCTCCGTTCCCACGGCTCTCGGCCCCGCCCCACTTGTCACATATTTATATATTATTCAACTTTACTCAATTAACAAAAATGTTTTTAATAGTTTTAATTATGATAACTCTGATCTGAATTTTTTTAATCTGAACTTTAATTCGAATATAACATTCGCTGTATTTCACTTGAGATGCCATAATGCCGTTTATTAAATGAATAGTTCACCTATAAATGAAAATTTGCTGAAAATGTAATAACTCTCACTGCATCCAAAATGTAGAAGAGCATTATTATGGATTAATGACTGGTATTTTGGCCAATAGCATTGGTTAAAATTATGGATGCACCGATACGATACTGGTATCGGTATCGGGCCCGATACTGAGCTCCTGTACTCGTACTCGTTAAAATGCCCCGATACCAAACGCCGATACCACACAGCATGTGATAAGTGCCATATTCAGACACACAAGTTACTTAATGGTAGGGAGGGAGAGAGAAAGAGAGAGAGAGAGAGAGAGAGAGAGAGCACTTCTGTTGTGTGATCTTTGATGTTCACTCACTTAGCACACGCATCATTTGGATTAAAACTAAATCGTAAAAATAAGACCAATTTTAGGGGCATTCACTATAAACAATTTATTTTCTGGCGAAAGTGAATCTAGCAGCCTGTGTGAAATGCGCTAGGCTGTACTACTTGTCCCTCTATCAGTACAAATACGTGCACGCGTTGCGCGTCAGGAGACTACAGGCTGTCATTAAGGCTAAAAGTTGCCCGACTAAGTATAGATGGTTTTGTAAATACTGTCATACTAACAGCTGTCTGAATAATTTTTTGGTTGATTGTAATCTATTACATACCTTTCTATCAAAGTTATCTGACATTATTAAGCTGAATTTGTTCTGACACAGTTTAACTCTGAGTTCTTGTCATATTTTATTACCATTTTCTAAACTATAGCGAATAAACTGTGATAAGTGAGGAATGTTGAAGGTGTCTGAATAAATTTTGGTTTGACTGTATCTATTTGATAAATGAAGTTAACCAACTAACATTATACATACTCTTTTGGTTTCTGTACCCAATATTTAAAAAAATGTACAAATGTAATAAAAATATCGGTATCGGTACTCGGTATCAGCAAGTACCTAAAATAAAAGTATTGGTATCGGGCGAGTACTGGAAAAAGTGGTATCGGTGCATCCCTAGTTAAAATGTTCAAAGTTAAATGTTTAAGTTAAAATGCCTTAATGATGGTTAAAAACACCCAGCTTTTTACTTCAGAAGATAATTGATGGACTGGAGTAGTGTGGTTTATATGTGGATTACTGTGATGTTTTTATCAGCTGTTTGGACTCTCATTCTGACGGCACCCATTCACTGCAGAGGATCTATTGGTGAGCAAGTGATGTAATGCTAAATTTCTCCAAATCTGTTCTGATGAAGAAACAAACTCATCTACATCTTAGATGGCCTGAGGGTGAGTAAATGTTTAGCAAATTTTAATTTTCTCAACTATTCCTTTAACACTTAAACACATTCTTTGTCAGAATATTTATGATCAATTTCCTTATTAAACTGGAAAAGGCACCCATTTCCTAGCATGACCCGTAATACTATAATGCTTGGTTATGGTCCTGTATATGATGTAAAGCTAACAAATATCTACAGCACAAATATAAGTAGCACTATAGGTATGAAGAAAGGAAAATAAGTTTAAAAGAGAGAAGCAGAAAGAAGAGAGCAGCTATGATACCTCACGGGGGGCAGTTACAGCTGGGTCAAGGGCAAGCGAGAGGCCGTGTGAGGAAGCGTTGGTGAGCTGGATGTCATGGCAATCACTCCCATACATCTTATAAACATCCGACAGCTTCAAGTACTCCTGAGAGACGTTACCAGTCAATCAATTCACACAGGACAGAAGTTCAGCTGTCAGTTTACTCACATCCAAACCCAATGAGAGCAGTTCTGTCATATTCATGCCTCCATCTAACTCTTTATATGAATTCAAATTACAAGTTACTCAAGCAGTGTATCCCAAATCGCGTACTTATGCACTGTTCTATGCCATTTTGTAGTATAAATAGTGCGAGTAGTGTGTTCACACTGAACATTCCAAAAAGAAAATGTGCACTTTAAATACCCGGATGATGCACTTAAATAACCGAAAAATAAACTAAGTGTGGAATGTCGGAAACTTCATGCACTCAACTGTCACGGCTTTAATTATGTAGCAAAGGGGGAGAGGCTATCAGACTCCAATTATGAATGACAAAACAACCTTATATAATTAATACACTACATGGTTGAGTACAGTGCATAAGTACATAGTGTATAAGTGCATAGTGTATAGTGCGGCATTTGGGACGCAGCTATAATTTCAAGTAGTCCAACTACAGTCAAATTACTTTTGAAAAAGTAGCTACTCTGCAAACACTTAACAAAAAGTAAATACTCTTAGCAATATTTATTTAGTTTCATAACAATAAAATATACCAAATAAAATCAAATATATATATAAATTAATTTTAATAATTAATCATACATATATATAT